TTTTTAATGTTAATCTGTTGGCGGGTGTATTCAATTATAATCTATAATGACTTTTTAATACTTTTAGAATTTTGACGTATTCAATTTAAACTTTTTGAGATTTTTTAAACGTCTGAATGTATTCATTTCAGATTTTTTACGACTTTTTATCTAAAAGTCGGTCTTCATTTGAAGCTTTCTAAAGAGTCTCAGTAAGTTAAATGTATTCAATTATCATCTATAATTGACTTTTCAATACTTTTAGAATTTTGGCGTATTCAATTTAAACTTTTTGAGATTTTTTAAACGTCTGAATGTATTCATTTCAGACTTTTTTATGACTTTTTATCTAAAAGTCGGTCTTCATTTAAAGCTATCTAAAGAGTCCCACTAAGTTAACTGTTGTTCAAAGTAATAAGACTTTATAAGACTTTTTATATTGAAAGGCTTTTGGAGATTTTTTTTTAATATAATTAGAGAGACAAAGTCCTAGTAGAAATCTCATCAAATAGGTGTGTTTTTGCTTGGACTTGCGTGACTCTCTTCAAATTCTTCTTTCTCTAGTTTTTCTTTTCTCTATGATATATACAATTATATATCTCATATCAATTTAAGTCTATTATTTTTCTCATTTATCTTGATAACTTGTTGTTTTTCATCACAAATGTTTAGCGTTATTTTTTTATTATTGTTTTTATGTATCTCCATGTATATTCATTAAATTGTTTGATTGTGAATTTGACTTTTCTAGGTCAAGTGTGCATAGTTTGCATTTGCTAAGAGTTTCACTTTCATCACTATTTTTGACGATGTTTGTGTCTCGTACAAATATATTTTAATAATATTTTTCTAATACTGCAACATGCTGTAAAAAATAAAAAGGAATAAAATAAAATTCAATAATAATTACATAAATATGTCATGATCGGATTGATTATGAGTGACATTTTATCTAGATGAGTAACTCATGTTTGAGCTTGTGCTCGTTTAATAATTGAATATAAGACTAAACTTGAGTTTAACTCATTGAAACTCGCAAGAACTCAGATCGACTTGACTCGTTTAATAAACCTAAGATTTTAAATGAGTTGCTCGTGAAAAAAAAATTGGAAACAAGTTTGACATGATTGCGTATTTTATAAAAACTACAACATATTAAATAATGTGTGGTTCGAGAAACAAACTCAATTTGATTCTCCTCATTAGTTGTTCAAGATCAATTCATTTAAGAAAACAAAAGAACCGAGCTTGAGCTTTCAGCAGAACCGAGTTGTGTTCGTGAATGACTTAGTTCGAAGATCAATTCTATAGTTGATTTACTTTTTTTAGGTAATTATTTATTCATTTTTATTTTACACAATTGCAATACTGCAAAGCCATGTCTTTTTTTTTTTCCTTTTTTTCTAATTGAGTAGTTGATGTTTACTATTAAAACTTATTAAATTTAATATTAAAATTATGAAACAAGGTTCATGAATATTTCATTGAAATATAATAGTTATACTACAAGTATATAAAAGTTTTAATAAGTTTCAAAAAGTAAATGATAAAAATTCTAAAAAGTCTATAATAAGAATTTTATAGAAGTTTCATAATGTTCATCAAAGTCATTAAGAATCTCACAAAGTCCATCAAAGTCACTCATTTTGAAAAGTCTTAAATAGTTTTTAAAAGTTTCAATTGAATACACCTTTTATATAAATCATATATGATGTATCTTTGGAATAGTTCATACACACCTCATAACGATTTTACCAAACAAAAGCCCCACATATATTAGCACATAGTCATAGAAATAATATTCACTTAGTATTAGAAATAATATTAGCACATAGATAGAACAATAAATAAAAGTTCCTAATGATTATAAGGCGCGGACAAAAAAAGGCTTACAAATGATACTGTTGACTAGGGGTGGAAAAAAAAAAACGGATTTTCTGATCCCGAATCGGACCGAAATGGTCCCGTTCCGAAAAGGGATCCAGTCGGTTTTTTAAATTTTTGTACCGTTCCTGATACCGAACCAGTTGAAACAATGTCAGTATCAGTTTTTATAATTTTTTTCCCGAATCGTCCCGTTTGTCCCGTTTTATTTTTTTGTACAAAAATATTATATATATATATATATATTTTATACATTATTAACAGGCTTTGTATTTTTTATTAGTGAAAGCCCAATTAACAGGCATTGGAGTGTGTATGTTCAATATTTAATTTAGTATCAGTAGTTTTTTTTTAATGCTTTGATTACAGCTTAATTTGTTGGTAGGGAATCAAAACTTTTTTTTAAGTGAAAGTGTGAAACAATGAATAGTTTGAATTTTGAATATTTTTTTTCTTGTTTTATCCCGGTCCCGAACAGTTTTGTCCCGGTCCCGATTGATACCGATCCGTTTGGGACGGGGTCTCGTCCCGGATCGATCCCGGACCAGTTCAAAAAACCGGGACAGGTACCGGGATAGGTCAAATTCCGGACCGTCCCCGACCGTGCCCACCCCTATTGTTGACCCCTATCACATAGAGATCAGAATGTTTGATCGGAAGATTAACTGTCTTCCTAGTTTTGCGTTTACCATCGGTATCTTTTCTGGATAATAATTTGTGAATTGATTTTCCAAATCAAATAACCTCAAGCACAAAAGTTTTGTACACACACCATGTTTGATTTTACACTTAAAAAATATTTAAATAAAAAAAGTATAAAAGAAGAAGACGAAACACATCGAGAGAGAAAGGGAGGCGAGAGAGATGAAAGAAAATAGGGTTTCTGTAATTGCAAAAGTGAAAGTGTCTGATACAATTGTGCCCTTATATACTTGGGTCACTTTGTGTAAATATTACAAAATACATATACTTATAATGAATAGGAAAGAAATATGAGAGTACATTGTGTAAAGGGAGTTGTACATAGTCTATTACCCCCCCTCAAGATGGACATGAATGTTTTTCAGGTTCATCTTGGAAGAAAGGGCAGAAAACAGAGGATAACACAATAGTTTTGTAAAAATATCTGCAATTTGGTCCTGAGATGGTGTGAGCAACTGAGATAATGCCTTTTGAGATCTTTTCCCTTATGAGGTGGCAATCTAGCTCAATATGCTTTGTTCTCTCATGGAAGACTGGATTTGTGGCAATTGAAAGTGCATATTTGCTATCTGAAAATATGCAAACAGGAGAGTTATGAGAAATTTTGAGCTCAGCAAGTACATAAAGCAGCCATTGCACCTCACAGTTGGTATAGGCTAAGGCCCTATACTCAGCTTCAGTTGAGGATTTACTAATGGTTGCTTGCTTCTTAGATTTCCAAGATATCAAGGAATTTCCTAAGAAGATAGCATAGCCAGAAACACTTCTCCTTGTGTCTATAAAACCAGCCCAGTCAGAATCACTATACCCAGTGAGAGTTAAAAAAGAAGTTCTAGGGTAGAATATACCTTGGCCCACTGTGTTTTTCAAATACCTGAGGATCCTGTGAGCTGCA